CATTTAACTCTGTTAGCAGCTTTCAAGTACAGAATACAGTATTATTATGCTGTACATTGTATCCCCAGAATTTATTCATCTTATAACTAAAGGTTTGTACCTTTTAATCAATAGCTCTCCATTTCTGCCCAACCCCCAGCCCCTGGTAATTCCCATTCTAGTCCCTATTTCAATGAGTTCCACTTTTTAAGATTCCACATATAAGTGAGTCATAAGACAGTATTTGTCTTTCCCTGTCTGACTTATTTCACTTAGCAAAATGTCTTCAAGGTCCATCCATGTGTTGATCACATCATCACACCCACCGCACCTAACTAGAACTTTGATACATATTTATGGAATAATCAGATACATTCGATAACATTCCTGCCCCACCTCCCCTGGCAATTCATAGTTCACATTAGCATGTTCAAAATTCTGAGATTTGAGGAAAGAAATACGTTTTCTAACCTAATTGACCAAGGAAACTTTTTCCCCATAATGCTGATTAATATTTCATTTTACGGAACATTGGGCTTGATTATATATGATTTCGTTTCCAGCTGATTGACTATATGACCCCCTTATTTCAGGGGGAAATGCTTAGAAATATTCAATGTCATATATGAATTTCTGTTCAAATCCAAAGACCTGTAAAATTATTAAGGCATAGTTGAGCTCAAAGTGTTCTAACAACAAAACTGTTATCAGGGAAGACTATAATTGTAGGAGAGAAGTTCAGTCCTCAACTAGAAACGTTCATTGGATCCATTTCTCTCTTCAGAGCTGCACTTGTCAACCTAAGGTTCACCTTATTTACTTGTCTGTTGACTTTGTGTAGCTATTAGAGCCCAGCCATTGTGGCAGTGGGATCAGGTCCTCAAAAATAGGTGCTAGGACTCCTGGATTCAATACCTGCTTTGTTTTCTGTAAGAGAATTAAGCGCCCAGAGAACTGGTCTATCAGTGAGCTTACTGTGGGGTTTTTTAGTGCAAATATGATAAGAAACATAAAATATTTTTGAAAGCCTACAAAGTATTATAAAAACAAAAGACATTATTTCATGAAACCAATTTTCCTAATCATTGTCAAGCCTTTAAGACCCATCAGATTATAACATATCTATGTTTGCTTTTATTACATTTAATAGAAAAAGCATAAACACTTTTAGGGTGATCAAACATCATGAAAATAAAAATGGATGGAGTGCTCATGTGATTTGAAAATAAATCGATTCCCCCTCACTGATATCTGGGAAACATCTAGGTCTTGCTTTCTCAGACTATGGATACCCAACCATTATGCTAACACCAGGAACAAATGCATGAGGATACTCTATTTTTCTTTAATTTGGAAAAATCACATAGAATGAAACCTACTGAGCCGCATCACAATGTCTGTCGAGTGCCCACTGCAGGGCATGGGGTCAGTGTGTTGCATCCATTATCTCATGAAATAAACACAGGTCCTGGAGGATATTTGCAAGTCTTTGAATTACACCTTTTAGCGTCTCCTCAGAAGGCTGAAAGGTGGTAAATGTCATTATGTCCCTTCTGGAGTCAGGCTGTCTCCCAGAAGTCTTAACTGCACTAATCTAGACTTGTGAATTCTAAAATTCTCCCTAATTCGGAACAGCCTTTTGAGGTATATTAAACATACAGTTGATCTTCATTATTCACAGATTCTGTACCTGTGAGTTCACTGACTTGCTAAAATTTATTTTGAACCCCCCAAATCAATGCTTGCGGTGCTTTCATGGTCATTTGTGGACATGCGTGGAACAGTCAAAGTCTGAGTAGCCCAGTGCTCACAAACTCAGTTGACATGGAACAAGGAGACTTGTTATTTCAGCTTTCATAGTGTGAACAAGTGTCCTTTCCGTGATATATTTAGTGCCAGTTTTTCTCATTTTTGTGTTTTTTGTTGTTGGTTTCTATTATATATAAAGTAGCCCCTAACTGTGATGCTGAATGCTGTCTAGGGCTCTTATGCTCAAAACGCTGTGATGTACCCTTCGGAGAAAATGTGTGGGCCAATTAAATCCACTCAGGTGTGATGAGTGGAGTTTATAGGGATGTTGGCTGTCAATTCAATCTGATGAATCAACAATATTAAAATGAGGTATTTTTTAACAGAAACACACATGGTCATATATTGATTGGTTGATAAAAGTTTTGTCACCAGAGGCTCACTGGAACCTAACCCTGTATTTCCTCTAGAACAGCGGTTCTCAACCTGTGGGCCGCGACCCCTTTGGGGGTCGAACGACTCTTTCACGGGTCGCCTAAGACCATCGGAAAACAAAAAGATATTTACATTACGATTCATAACGGTAGCAAAATTACAGTTATAGAGTAGCAACAAAAATAATTTTATGGTTGGGGGTCATCACAACATGAGGAACTGTATTAAGGGGTCGCGGCATTAGGAAGGTTGAGAACCGCTGCTCTAGAAGCAATACTTAGTATTCTTAAATTCAGTTCAGTGTTTCTGTCAACTTCATAGGCTGTAACTTGTGCAAATAACAAGGATCAACTACATCAAGAGACACCATTGCACTTGACTTTCTTAACTACCCATTTGATGTCAGATATTCTGATCATTCAGCTTTTGAATTGAGACTGGGAAATTAATGAAAGACCTTGAATGCTGACTTTTAAACTGATGGGGACATTTACAAGGAAGTCATAAAGGACTGGAATGGGAGATTTATAATAGGAGTTCGCGTGAACCCTTCCTCTCCGAGGGAAATGACATCAATATGATCCCACAGTCATTATTTTTTGACTTGAAAAATGATGTCTTTTTGGGTGCAAAGAAAGAAAGAAGAGTAGACATCTGAAAAAAAATCTACTTTACAAAGTTTTTAAAAATGTTCATAAGGTGTACTGCTGTGTACAACTCAAACTAAATTTGTCAGAAATGGTGAACTCAAGTTATGCTAATAAAAATCCATGCTAATAAAGACCCTCCTGTCTCCATTGTAAGCTCTCACATAAAAGGTTAATTTATTCCAATGAATTAGTTTATTAAGCACAGAAAGGACAGATTGAGAAACTATTGTAAAATGACTTTTTAAATTGTAAGTAAAACTATGATACAGAAAGTTCTGACCTTTCATTACTTGCAACATTTCTTTGTAGTAAATGTAAAATTACTTCCAGGAAACCTTATTTCTTTCATTTATAATCAGAATATTTTAACAGATAGTGCTATTAAAGACTTTTGATGAGTTCCCTCTCCCCAAGATTCTTATATCAGAAATGCTTATTATTTTTCCAATAATAACGAATCGGCAATAGTTTATTTAAGCTTAGGTGATGATCTTTTCAAAAAAGCAGTGATTCTTCGATAACTTGTCAAAAGAGTGTTTCAATTTTGGGGCAAGTATTGGGTTGTTATTATCATTTTTTTGAAGCTAATTTATCTTTCATGTTGAATATTATTTCTAAAAATTTTGTATTGGGTCGTCGGAAAAGTCATGACGTATTTTTCTTTGTTTTTCAATGCAAAAATACATGATGACTTTCCCAACGACCCAATAGTTTGGTAGTCCACACCAGAAGTATTCCAAATGGTATAGAGGTTATTAATATAGGCAACATTTTATTTGATGTTTCAATAGTGTAATGATATTACAAGCATTTACTCTGTATCAGGCATTGAGATGGTTGCTTTGTATGAATTTTCTCTAATTATGACAGTAATTGTATGCAGTAAGTATTATTATTTTCATTTTACCAATAAAAACATTGGGGTGGGAAGGCCTAAATGTTTTGCTTCAAGGGGTATAGAAAGCTTTTACAGGTTGTCAGAGAGACACATCCAAATTAGATCTATGAACATATCCAAGCTTATTGCTTTCTGCTACTTTCTAAATTAATTTATAAATAAAATTATAAGCTAATAGTTACTTTTTAAAAATGTATGCTTGAAATGACAAACATTACATAGAACACAATATTTCTGATTGATCACTGACTGAGGGTTTAAAGAAAACAATTTAAAGAGTCATTAGCCATTCTTATTTACATAAGCAAATTATCAAAAATGTCTTATTCTATTTTTGCCTAAATATTGTCTACCATAAAGTACTGTTGCAACACAGGAAAATATTCATCAGGACCTTATGACACTCTTTCGAACCTAGTGACAGCTTTTAAGTGGCATCCACACACCTTCGACAGGTTGAAATTTAAATGTGCTTTATAGATAGCTTCTTAAAGAGAATGGAGGTAAATCGTGAGTGGTTGGTGTCAAATAGTTCATCCTTTACAACATAAAAAAATAGCATTTTTCTCATAAACCTTCGTCTTCTCTGGTTCTTGTCACATCAAAATTCTTATAGTACAAAGCAGCATCCTTCTTCCCTTCTCCACCTTCTAGCCAATGTGATAGTTACTTGTTTTTAAAATTCAGATGTAATTCATATAACATAAATTCACCCTTTAAAAGTCTACAATTCTGTGGTTTTCAGTATATTCACAGGTTGCGCCATCACCACCATCTAATTCCAGAACATGTTTATCACCCTGTACCCATTAGCAGTCTTTCCCCATACAATTCCCCTCCACCCCTCCCATCCCCCCATCTACTGGCAAACACTAACCTGATTTTGTGTCTGGCTTGTTTCACTTAGCATCATGTTTTCAAGGTGCATGCATGTTGTACCATGTGTCAGTGCTTCATTTCCTTTCTACGGCTGGAGAGGATTCCATTGTATGGATACACCCCATTTGTTTATCCATCCGTTTGTTGATGGACATTTGGGTTTTCACTGTTGTCTATTCTGAACAATGTTGCTATGAAAGTTCCTGTATGAATGAGTTTTTGTGTGGGCATAGGTTTCATTGACCTTGGGTAGGTGATTTAGATCTTTCTTCTCATGTTTCATTGCTTTCTTCTCAGCTTCAGGAATACCCAGAACAATAGGAAACTCTGCACATCCTTAGCAGAGCTTGATAAACACTGGGTTGCCATGTCTCCCTAAACCTGACCTTCCTTTGCCTGTCTTTTCCCAGAGCCACCCATTGGCCAGATGCACCCCCCACACGGCAGTGTCACTCCTCAGAAGAACAGCAACCTGCTTGTGATCATTGTGGTCACCGTTGGCGTCATCACAGTGCTGGTGGTGGTGGCCGTGGCCGTGATTTGCACCCGGCGCTCTTCAGCCCAGCAGAGAAAGTAGGTAACAGCTGGTTCCCAAAAGGAGGAAGTCCCTGCCTGACCCAATTACCATCTTTTTGAGTTATATTTCTGGTGGCTGTCTTCCTGTGCTCTTTCATGATTCACCACATGTTCCTTATCTCTTGACCTGGGCAAAACCTTGCCTTTTGTCCATCCAGACACATAACTTAAGGAGTAAGGTCTAGATTTGCAGACTTAACAGTAGAATCCTGGAGGCCCATTTTGCATTTCTGTTTGATTGTACTTCTTGAGGCTAGATTCTTCCTTGCAAGTGAGGGCAGGTGTTCCTCCAGGAACACTTAGAGAATGGCCTATTTATGGCCCTCTCTGCAATTAGGTATAAAAGGTTGGAGATGTGTATTCCTCTGAAAGTGTTTATGTATCACGTTGGCAAGGAGGCGTGTAGGCATTTAATCAGTGCTTGTTGCATGAATGGCTACATACAGAATACCTAACTCAATGTAGTCAGTTAGAGTGTTTAGTTTGGAGGCAGTAGTTAGGGAGGAAGAGAGATCCAGAAATTCAAAATGGTTCGTATTTCCTTGCTATGATTGATTCTCAGAAATTAAGAGAAAAATGGGTGGTTTAAAAGTATTTTCATCTTATGCGGCTCTATATTCTACCACAAGCACAGAATGACACATCAAATTACAAAGTTTAGAATGGAAAGGTGGCTTTAATTCAGTTTATCCCCTTCCAGCAATACCCCATAACCAACATATTAACCTTGTTTCAGCCAGTTGTGGGAATCAGCAATAACCTCTTAGTTATTCTCTGTCTCCTTGCCTCTCTAACATCTTCCAAATCCAGCCTGATATGTTCTTTCAGCTGTACTCTCTTACTGGATTAGCTATTATGGACTCTTCCTTCATTATTGTTGGTTTTTTCTGGCATGGTGCCCACTCTGCAGGCCTGAGGTCTGGACCCATAGGTGGTTTGACAAGTATACACTACATGCATTGCTAGAGAAAGATTCTGTAGCAAATAATTTTCCCTCTTTTCTTACCAATACCTCAGCCTTTCTCACTTTTTAAAACATCCCATGACTCTATTTTTTTAGCTATAGTGAATCTTCCAGAATTTTGAAGTGAGACATTTAGAAACAGGATATAGGACTATGTGTATACTGAAGAAAGTGACCAGGGTGTAGATACAGTCTTTGCATTTAATTTATACATTCACAGGGCAAATTTGATATCCAGCTGCATTCATGAAATGGGACTAACTTGAAGCTGGTGATAGCTGGTGTGCTGGTCCATTGTGCCTTCAAAAGAAAGTACCAGAATGACACCTTCAAAGAGTCAGTCTCATGTGTAAGCATTCTGGAATTCATAATCACCCACAGAGCTTCAGAGCGCTGGGCAGTTAGTAAGACTCTGGGGGAAAATTAACTGCAGTTGAGTAAAGCTTCGAATAATCTCTTGTTCTGGCATTCCCAGAATGGTGGGCCATCAAGGCAGCCCATCTCTGAAGCAGAGCTAAGAAAGAGTCACATAAAGGGAAGCAGGCAGGACACCAAAACCAAACTTGGCGTATTTCATGCTAGTTCTAGAAACATCGATGCATTCACTAAACTAAATTTAACTAGCTAAACCATCTGTAATGTGATGTTTCATTTTCTTTTCTTTCCTTTTTTTCTTTTTTGCATTTTTGTCATTGTGAGAATGTTTTAGAGATTATTGACCTGATGAACTGGAATCCTGGACATAGTTTGTCACTCCACAGAGAAAATGCAAATCTCCTTTTTGCCAAAGTGACATTTGATGCTATTTTGAGAAGTTCTCAAATTGTCTTAAATCTCACCCTAAGCACTTTGGTCAAAGCTTAAAGATTTTAGTTAGCAAGAGTAGAAGCTGAGCCCTGAGTATGACTTATTTTTTAAATTAGGGAATAAATGAAAGGATAAATCATTTCATTAATAACTGAAAACCTAATGGAAGTGAATGTGGAGATCCTGTGCTACTGCCACTTTGGTTTTCCTCCCATCATTCCCAAAGTCTCTTCATATTTACTGGGCGTGTTTTTGCATTTTTGCTTCATACATCTTTCTTTGGTAACAGACCTGTTGGCATTCATCTCTGTCTCTTTGTATATGTTAACAGGTAAAAAGAGAAAAAGAAAATTTTCTCCTTCAAGATATTTCTGAGTTTTAACTTAGTGTTTCTTGATTTCATTGAGGACCCCTCCCCTGGATACTACCACAGTTGAGTCTTTTAGAACAAATGAAGTAATGCAGATGAAAGCAAAATCAATTCCAATTTGAAACAAATAATGTCCCTTACAGGGCTCTCAGAAAAATGGGAGTTTAGTGTAATTAGTAAGATGAAGTAGGAAACCCGTTCATGGGCTTCTCAATATGTCTTGATCTGGGATTGCTGGAGAATGTAAATTTTCTTTGTGTTTTATTAGATTTCAGTTGCATTCAAATGGATTTGAAATGTGTGTATGTACAATTAGTAACACCTTATTCAAGTTAGTGTCTATGCATTTTATTCTATGGTTTATCATATTCATATGGTTTATCATGTATGCCTCAGATATAATAACCAGGTGTGTTGTCTGATTGACAGACATTCTAGTTTGTGAGATAGAAAATAAGAGAAGTTAGAACCCAAGATCTGGTTCTGATTCTATCATGTCTTTAATTAAATTAATGGTATTTAATTAAACCTAAGGGAAGGCTTCTAATCCCTATTAATTTCCTTAAATGAGAAATAGGACTAAATACTTTCTGTCATCCCCTCTGCCTTTTAAACATGGAAATTCCCCATGGAATACTACTAAATTATAGAAACACATAGAAACAATTAACTTCAGACTAATGTGAAATAACAATAATTTTGCAAAATTTTTTGGCAATTAATTAAAAAAATTTTTTTGAAGGGACTCCCCTTATACATTTTGAATGAAGGAGATTATAATAGAATAGCATAATATAGAGAAAATATGTTTTATGAAAGTTTAAATTGATGCGGGCAGTGTTCTGTGTTTTTAATAAAGTAATAACATTCTCCTGGCCAAAATGTAGAACATGTATTATGATAAGCTGGAATGTATCAGTAGATATTAAGATAAAATATTTGACATTGAGAATATCCCAGAAGCCCAGGACACATGGTTATCACCTTTCTAAGGCAGTCACCTGGGCAGGTGATCAACAACTTGCCTGAATACATTAAATTTAAATATGTAAATAAAATCAAGGTTCACTTGATAGAATCGCCAGTTGATTTGACATGTACACGTGAAGTTTAAAATATTAGTACACATTCAAATCTTGATGAAAATAATTATTTTTGGTACTGAGGATCAAATTATTTTCGGTACTGTTTACACATACACTCTTAAAAGAAATCTACTTTAACTACTACAGGTCACTTTCATTGATTTTCAAAGTTTTAACATTTTAATCACTTTTTATTATTCACCACATAGAGATTTTAACTGGCAACCACTTAGGACTTCAATGTATCTTAATTTCATCTCAGAAAATACAGATGTATTTGAGTATGTAGGACACAATTTCCATGGGTTTATTGGTAGAATAAAAATAGTCAATATAGAAAATTAGGAGGCCGGAAATCTTTGGGGAAGATTTGGATGGAGGAAAGCAAGGCAGGTATTTATACTTCCCAATTTTTTCCTGGTTGACTTATAATTATTTCTCACACTCAGTTCAGCCTTCTTCCTCCCTGAAGCCTCCCTTATATCCCCAGTGGGGCAGAGTGCCCCTGCCTCAATCTCCCATCAGATCTTGGGCACATGTCTATCTGACCAAAAGCACTAGTACAGAGCTACTATATGTCTGCCTCCTGTGAACCCTTAAGCAGAGGAGCCTAAGCACAAAGTGGGAAGGAACTTAATAATTTATTACTGTGTAGCAAAAGGATTTGTGAGAGACAGTAGCATTTTAGGACTTCAAAGGCCACAGCCAAATAAAATGGATAATCAATGTCGATTCTTACCCATTCACATCCCCATTCACAAAAGGAGGGCCGGCTAAGTGGCGCGTTGGTTGGGAGCTGGCTTGGGCCGCCAGAGGGCCCCAGTTCAGATCTCACATATGAGGGCCAATGACACTGCCCTCCACAGCTAAGATGCTGAACAACAGCTCAACCTGGAGCTGAGCTGCCATGAGTCGCCGGCAATGGGGTAGGCTGCAGCCCCTGTGGCAGTGGGTTGCCATGGGCTACCGTGTGTAGCCAGCAGCCAGGGCTGTGTGCCAGCAGCCCCCAATTCCCCAATAAAAATCTAAAAAAAAAAGAAG